AATGCATCAAATTGAACTTGAAAACTTGAAGATCTTAAACTTTTATTGAAAAAATCTCAGAGTCCATTGAGAATGAAGGCAAGAAAAGTAAATTTTGTTGGAAAATAAATACAATTTTTTCCTAAACAACCTTCTAATAGAACAAGGAGGAAATTATTTTGGGAGAAAAGAAAGTAAAATACAAGAAACAAAAAAAATGTAAAACTAAGCTAATCTTTCCTTTATAACCAAACACTCTCTCTTATCTATAGACAAATGTAAGAAGCTTCAACCTTTAAAAATTAAAAAAAAAAAGAAGTCAAAGTAACTGCCAGCTTTGTAGATCATCTTGCTTCCCTTCCTTGAATATTTAACTTGCTTATTTAGTTCATTAAACTCTCATTTCCTTCAAGCCTTCTTCTCGTGAGCTATTAAGCTTCAACAAGTCAACATTATGACCAATAGGAAGCCTTCAAATGGCCAGCTTAGTAGCTCTATTTGGTCCTCTTTGAATCTCTAAAAGTGATGCCAAAATGCCTCCATCACATGGCACTAACATTCATGGTCATTGTTGCATCTTGCATTCTCCTTTTGGTGTTAATTACAACAATTTGTTCCTTCATTTTACTGCTAAAATACAGGCCATTAAATGAACAAATTATGCCTTATAATCTTGGAAAAATTATAGAAAATTGCAAGTCCAATAATAGCTTCTAACTACACTAATACACTTATTACCTTTCAAGCACTTGTAAAAATGTTACAAAGGTAATAATACACTAATAAGCAAAAAAAAAAAAAAATTCTAAATGAGAGATATGAGAATTAAAACTTGAAATAAGGTTCTAAGAAGTTCAATTAATCTAAAGTAATCACTAAAAAAAAGGGTTAAGAAAACTCTCATAAGTGGCAACATAGCATAATCACACTAGTTATGGCCTTTTCTAGCTTTTAGCAAAAAAGATCCTCCAAAATGAGTCCAAAATCTCCAAAATTTCTCGTTTTCTATATTTTCACCAACACATTAAATATATGCATGTTTAGGAGTATTTTTGCCAAAATTCTCAAGGATCAAGCCAAAATTCAAAAGAAAATACACTAAAAATAAGTAAGAAAATGCCAAAATTTGAGTGTAATCAAACTCTACTTTGGTCATGTATCAATTGTGAAGAGAATAGGAAACTAGAGATTTGAAGCTAGTTTTATAACAAAAGTAAATGATGGGGTTCACTAAACAATTTGAAATTATTTGTTTTAATCATTTGTCTTAAGAAAAGAATCAAAACACTAATGCCTAACCTATAAAATTGAATGTATAAGAGTCACTGACTCACTATTTGAATGTTGACAAATAAGTTGATGGAAAACCATGTTATTTTGACTTATAATAATATGTCAAGTATCAGTAATACTCGAAACACATATCAAAAAATGATAAGAGGACTTTGAGAAGACTAATGATAGGCTTTTTTTTGGATGTAAAAATTTTATATAAAAAAAATCAAGACCAAATGCCCCTAAGATGTATAAATGTCATTGAAGCTAAAAAGCTACTTAAAGTAATCCATGGAAGTGTTTTTGGAATTGATGCAAATGACCATATGATAACTAAGCAGATCATGAGTGTAGGATACTATTGGTTGACAATACAAAAGGATTTGATCGACTATACTAGAAAATGCTACAAATGTCAAATTTATACTAATAAGATGTAAATTCCTTTAACATCCTTACATGTCGTGTCAACATCGTGGCCTTTTTTTATTTAAGGAATGGATGTGATAGGGCCCATTATGCTAAAAGCTTCTAATGGACATCAATTCATTTTAGTGGAAGCAGTTTTATACGCTAATGTGACAAAAATGATGGTATGCAAGTTCATAAAAAAATAGATCATATGTTGATATAGGCTTTAAAAAAATCATTATGGATAATACTCTTAATTTGAGTAATCAAATGATGAATAAAGTTTGTGTTCAATTCAAAATCAAGCACCATAATTTGATACCTTATTATTTAAAGATGAACAAAATAGTTAAGGCAAATAATGAGAATATAAAGAGAATTGTTGAAAAGATAATAGATGTGTATAAATATTGGCATGAAAAGCTATCATTCACATTACATGCCTATCAAATTTCAATTTGCACATCCACAGAAGTTACACCATTTTCGTTGGTTTATAGGATGGAAACAACATTCCCTATCGAGATTAAATTCTTTTTTTATGTGTTTTTATGAAAGTCGAGTTGGAAAAAGCTTTGTAGGTTTACATTTAGTATGAACAGTTGAATCTTATTAAAGAAAAAAGACTAGCTACACTATGCCATGGTCAACTATATCAAAGAAGAATGATATGAGCTTATGATAAGAAAGTTTACCTTTGACAATTTTGAAAAAGAGAACTAGTGTTGAAATAGATCCTTCCTAACCATTAAAATCCCTATGGAAAATGGATTCCTAATTAAAAAAGACCATATGTGGTGAAGAAAGCCTTTTTTTGTAGGGCACTGATCTTAGTAGAGATTGATGGAATTGATTTGCCTAACCTTGTTATTCTGATGCCATGAAAAAAGTATTATGTTTGAAAAAAATAAAAAAGATAAAGACAGGTTCATGTTGAAAACTTGAAAAAGGTGACGTAAGTCAAAAGGGTATCTAAGTTAAAAATCCAAAAAGGTAGCTTAGATTAGAAAAAAAAAATTGTATAGAATGGGGCAATCATTAACACTTGTTGAAAGGTCTCATTAGTTTTGGGAAAGCCTAGTTTGCTAAATTCTTAAAAAATTAAGGACATCAATCAATGGTTTAAAAAAAAACTTGGATGAATTAGTTGATGATTATCTAAACATTCATTATGCATTTACTTGTTTGTCTTGTTATATCCTTTTGAATAATACATTAAATGTTTTTTTCCTTATTGAAATCAAGATACATTTTTCTTTCCATTTCCATTTATCTTTTTCATTCAATTTATATTGAAAAGGAATACACAAATGTATTGTAATTGTCATGAAATTTGAAAAATGATGAGTGAATGATAAAGACCATGAAAGACACCCACATTGATGAGAAAAATAGCAAGAGTAATGATCAAACAGAAAATGAGCTTATGAGGGCATGGAAGCAGATAAATGCCAATTGTGAAGAGAGATGAAATCATGATCATTGATTAAAAGGAATCTTATTTGAATTCTTCCAAAAGTTGGAATGCATAGGGTTTAAAGATAGAAAACAAGTATTGGAAGATTTTGAGGAATCGAGGAAAATAACATAAAATGAAAAAAAGGAAGAAAATGGCTTGTTCATTAGCATCATAATTGTATTTGAATTATAATCATCACTCATTGCATAACATTGCAATAACATGAAAATGTCATTCATGCATGCATACATGTACCATATGAAAAGGAACATGAGTCTAAAACAATCCAAAACCAGCAAAATAAAGTGAGTTAAAATCGATAAAAAAATATTTTTTAAAGTTATTGAGCTTCTGGTTAAAAGTGTATTTCAAATATCATAGTCTTTAGTTAGATGAACCTTTTAAAATCAAGCATAATTTATAAGAACTTTGGGCATAATTTTTAAGACTTATGAGAATGATTCAATTTCAAGTCTCATAACCTCTAGTTAGAATAGTTTTTAAAAAGTATCACAGTCTTTAGTTAAAGGAATCTTTTAAAAGTATCATAGCCTCCAATTAAAAGATTTTTTCAAATCTCATAACTTTTGGTTAGAGGAGTTTTTTTCAAGTATCATAGCCTATGGTTAGCTAAGTTTTGCAAAACTAGGCATGATTTTATAATTTTGGTGCATAATATATAAAATCTTTGAAATTTCAAATTTTAAAATTATAAAACCTTTGGTTATAGGAGTTTTTTGAAATTTTAAATTTGTGGGAGTCTCTAATCTAATGAGCTTTCTTGAAACCAATTCTTTGCAATATATAAAAAAAAAAAAAGTAAAAAGTGCTAATTGGTGGTCTTGTGCATTTAAGATGGGGAATAAAAATTAAAAAATAAAAACAAAAAAAATGTGTGTTTTTTTATATCAAATGTGTGGTGTGATTTTACATTTAAAAGAAATAAAAAAGGTATTCGTGTTTGAAATATTATTTTGATCCTTTGATTATGTTTACCCAAACAATAAATTATTGTGATAGAGAGATTTTAGAAAGTTCAAATTCACTTTCAAAGTCCACCATATTTTAAAAAGTTCAAATTCACTTTTCAAAAATCAACATTTACTATATTTTCTTATTTTACACTACTTTTATTTTTTTAATTATAATAACAAGAAAACTCATTATAATTTGTTTTGTTTTTTCATATTGTTAGTAGTATTTATATATTTTTAAAAATCTAATCACACTCATATTGTATATATACATGTTAAATAGTTTTTTTTTCTATCTTTAATATCATTATTTCTCTGTTATGTTTTTTTATCTCATCAAATTCTAATGTTTAATTTAAAAAAAAATAATTATCCAAATAATATAATTACAAACTCTGTTATTTTAAATCGATGCATTTCAAAATTCTTTAAGATTTTAAAAATCTTTATTTAAAAGCACCCTAAACATTAATGCGATTAAATTATGCAAGATGAATCATATCAAATACTTCAAAATAAAATGACGCATGAATTAGATAAATATGTAGAAAATTTAGATTCTAACTCAATTTGGGAAGAAATGTTCTTTCTATTGTCATTTGTTAATGAGGATTGTGACCGGTCTATTAATTAGTGAAATCTCCCGGTTTGAATTCAAAAATAAAAAAGTTTAATAAGCTTAAATTTAGAGCTGTCAAAGGGTTAGTTATTTGATCAAATTTGAAGGGTTTTCTAATAAAAGAGAGGGTTTTGACAAAACTTTAAAATTTTTAAAATGAGCTTGGGTAAAAGTTAAGGCTAATATTTTATTTGGCTTGAGCTTAGGACAAAACTTATTCGATAAGACACAGCTTCAATAGTTAATTAATTAATTAATTAATAATAACAATAATAATGCCAAATTTACTTTAAAAAGATAAAGATAATGAAACTGAGAAGTTGAATGAAACTCTCAATTCCTCACTGCAGAATCTCCAATTAATGAGACTCTAAAAGTCATTTGATGACACTAGTAAGAAGTCATCAAAAGCTTTCAAATATTTGAACTCAGAAATGCTTTTACTTGGTTCCACAAGGCAGATGAATTTGTACACAATCTCTTCTAGGTGCTTTCCATCTAATGAAAATACTCATACATGTTGATGAGGCACCGTTGCAGTCATGGTCATGTGCCTCGGATCTGTAAGCATTGTTTTTATGTTAACAAAGCCAGCTTCTCTCAATCTTCCTTCCATATCAGTGAGGAAGTATTCGTTCAAAAATGGCTCCGTACTCTTCAGTAATGTGAAAAGAGCTGGAGACAATTCCTGAAACAAACCAAATCTGAATGAATAAGGTAGTATATATATATATATATATATATATAATCAATTCATTGATTTTCTGGTGCTGTCAATTTTGCTGTCAGATTAAACAACAATACTATAAATTAAATCGCATCTGTAATGCCAGCTATACTATACAAATGACGGATGGGGAATTATTGTACCTGAAGGATCTTTGACTTTGGCTGCAAAAGGAAGAAAGTTAAAATGAGAAGAGTTGCAGAAGCAAAAATGATCATATTTGTAAATTAAGTGTAGTTGTGGTATTTACCGCCTGGTCAGTCAAAGCAAATGTGCCTCCAGGTCTAAGCAATCGGATTGCTTCATCCACTAAAGCAATTATTGCTCTTTCAGGACATTCATGAAACTGCACGCATTTAGATAGTCTCATTTTCATTTTCGAAAATTTCTCCATTTATTGACCGACGAAAATCTTCAAAAAATATTAAATAATAAAGTTGCATATGTTAAGTATCCAACTTAAAAATAATTGATAATAGGTAAAAATAAATAAATATTTAACAAATGTGATATACAATCATTTTAATAGACCCTATCATCTGTAGATAGAGATAAAAGTTTATCAAGTGATAAACTTTTAAAGATAGCAGGTAGGAATACATAGCAAGAATAACATAACAGAACCTGATATCTGATATCATGAAAAAAATCTAATTTAAAATCAATTAAAAGTAAGTGAAGAGGGAGTTAACTTGAATATAAGATCATAGGAAATTTAAAATTAACAGAAGTGTAAATTGCACTACTTTAATAGAGTATAAATTAAAATGATTGTAAATTCATTTAGACAATATCCCCATCAAATTTTTACAAGATAAAATGAATTACTTAACCAGGTTGGAGAGAAGGCTTACCACAAAAGCAAAAGAAACAAGATCAAATGATTTAGAGGGCAGGCCAGTGTCTTCTCCAGCTGCATGTACCCATCTGATGGGATTCTTTCGAGGGGCTCTTTTCTTTTCCTTGAATTGAGCTACAGAAAGAAAGTAAGGTGACAGATCTAGTCCCTACAGTAGACCAACTTTATACATCACCAACTGTAAAATCTGTGTTGTGGTGATCAGTTTCCATAAATGAAGATACAGCTAGCACTTACGGTGACTTTAGCAGAAGGGAACTCATCAGCAAGAAATGTTGCACTTAAACCAACAGAACATCCAATGTCTAGAATAGTTTCAATAGTGGCATTTCCTGAATGCTTCATATGATGTTGTTTGATTGCTTGTAGCCAATTTCCACGTAATTCTTGAGTTGCTTCCTCATTTGATGAAGCATATGGTATAGCTCGCCTCGTCATAGACATGGTTGCAGCCTCCGCTTCAGCTGCAGCCTGTCATCCTCTACCAATCTTCCAAGTTAAAAGTCCTTAATTTCTGTCTCTTTTTGTTTACACTTCTAAGATTTCTTAAAGATTTTCTTAAACAGATCATAAAGAAAATCTATATTTTGTATATGAAAAATTGGGTTCAAGATAATTAATTACTATCATTAAAATCGAAGTTATTATGATAATTGTTTATTTCTTTAATTGGTAATAATAATAAATTATTTTTTAAATATTATTTTATGGATAATAATAAAAAAATTATTTGTTAAATGTATTTTGATGATTAATTGTCATACTATTTATGCCAATTTGGTTTTTTTTTTTTTTTTTAAAGTTTAAAGATAATGTCAACTTTAAATGTAAAATTGGGTTATTAAAATCACAATTTTTTAAATGCTTATTTTTAAATGATAATTGTAGACATCACAATCTGTCTCGAGGTCTACTTTTGATTTTTGTTAATAAAAAAATAAAAAAAATAAAAAAATAGGTAATTGAGTTTGTGTGAAATTATTAGAATTGGTTTGTAAAGTTAGAGTTGGATTTAAGATTGGAATTCAAAACAAATTGTGATTCCTTTCTAGATTGGAATTCTCAGATTCAGAACCTTATAAATACATATTCACACAGATCATACAAACATACAAAAAAATCAAGGAGAGAGGCTGAAACTAAAAAAAGCAATCAAAAAAATTTTTCGAAGATTTTTTGGGGTTTTAAAAAAAAATTTGAAAAAAATCTAAAAAATTCTCAAATTTTGATGACTTTTTTTAGTTTTTATCTCAAGCTGAGCCAAGCGAAGCCACTTTTTAAGCCATTCTAGCTTTTTTTCCTGCAATCGAGCTGCGCTGTAGCCATTAGAGCTGAGCCGCCTCCTGTTTTAGGTTTTTTTTCACTTTATTTATTTATTTATTTTGACTATTTTTGCATGATTAAATTTTAAAAAAATAAAAATAAAAAAGGTAAAAAATAAAATAAAATTTGAAAATAAATATTAATTATCCAATGATGGAATTTATAAAAATTTCAAATAGTAAATTTCTATAAAATTTCTAAGTGAAAAATTTTGTCTAAATTTGTCTCAAATTGTGGAATAATTTAGATAAAGTTTTAATAACAATAATTAATTTTTATTTTCAAAATAAAAAAAAATAAAAAAATAAAAAAATAAAAATTTTGGAATTAAATACAATTAACTAATGATGAGATTCTTAGAAATTTTAAATGGTAAATTTTTAAGAAATCTCTAGGTGAAATTTTCTCTAAACTTGTCACAAATTGTGGAATAATTTAAGTGAAATTTTAATAAAAGTAATTGTATTCTTTTTCAAATTTGGGTGAAAAATATTTGATAATTATCTAAAGATGAGATTCTTAGAAATTTTAAATGGTAAATTTCTAAAAAAATTTTAGGTGAGAAATTTTCTTTAAATTTATCCTAAATTGTGGAAGAATTTAAATGAAATTTTAATAAAAATAATTGTCATATTATTTTCTTTCTAATAAAAAAATTTTTTAAATAAGCCCAAATGCTGAAATATTTAGAAATTCAAAAAGAAAAATATTTTCTAATTTGGCCCAAATAGTAGAATAATTAGATATATTTTTTATAAAAAAATAATAAATAAATATTTTTTCGACGAAATAGCCTCTTCAAAGAAACAAATGAGATCCTTGAATACTCTTGAGGTGAAAAAATATTTTTAAAAATTATACCAGATTGATGGAAGAATCTTATAAATTATTTTCGATATTTAATATAAAAATTTGAAACCATTAGACTTAATACTCTATGATAAATTTAAAATAATATGGTATTATCCTTCGGATGGGCATGTGGGGAGCTATAACCTTCCTCACATGTAACTGAACTTTCGAACCCTGTTCTGGTTAATAGACTCGAATTTATCCTTTTAGGGACCCTTAGTCAAGCTTAAGAATTCCTTAAAATGATAGATTTATTAGGTGGCTAATCACACCTAAATAAAAAATATTTGTGGCGACTCCATTTGTTAAATCTACCTATAGATTTTCGGATCTATATGTTATGATAATAATAATAATAAATTATTTGCTAAACTATTTGTTAATTTTTTAACTGATAATATCAAAAAACTATTTGTTAAAAGCATTTTAAGGATTAATTGGGATAGTGATTATGCCTTTTGATTTTATTTGATTTTGAAAACAATGTCTACATTAATTGTATAATTTAATTGATAATAATAAATTAATTTTGATTATTGAATTATGTTTTTTTTCTTTACCTTGGCTTTTTGGTTTTCTTTAATTTTAAAAGTAATCTCCATCTTAATTGTATAATTTAATTGATATTATTATTTAAATATTTATTTTAGTAATAATAAATTTTGTTAAATGATTTTTAATAATTAATTGTGATCATTAAAAAATTACTTGTTCAATTTTTATTTGTTTCCAATTTCTACAATTTTAAAGATGATTTCTGGCTATTTTTAAAATTTTATTTCTTTGACAAGTATGTGTTTCCATCATCTTCTTTTAGCTTTTGAATATTTGTTCTCATTTTCCTTCATTGGTTGGAATGAGATAATTTGTTTTCATATATATGTTCTTCAAAGCTTTTATTCTATTTACACTTTCTTCTTCAGCTATCAATAAATTTATTAAACAAATTAATTTTATGAATATGAGGTCATGACACCTTATTCTTTAATATAAGAAAATCACAAATTAGTTAACTCTTCTAATTAAGGTAAAAAGCAAGAAGCAGAAAATTCAGAAGATTAATCTTAGAAACTATATATGTATATGGCATATATAATGGTCAATGTTAGAGCAAAGTCTTCATGCTAATTATAAACTAATAAACGGTTGAGAACTCCGGAGAACTAATTGAAGTTACATATCAGCAAATTTAGGTGGTCCCTGCTCACTTGTCATGAATATCTAAATGTGCACATCCATTAGAAGTGCAATGCTACTTTGGTCTTCAACCGCAACAATGAGAGGGAGCATACCTTAAAAAAGAGCATACTTACCATCCACGAAAGATTGCCCTCCTCGTATGCATGAAAAGGACTCAGATAATCTGTTCAAAGTACACAATGATTAATATATATTATGATAGTTTCTTAATTATAATAAAATATTTAATATGATATATGATTTTTAAAAATTTTTAATATGTCATTTGAACAATAAATTTATTAATTAATATGATATTCATATAAAATTAAAAGATAAAAATAGGTGATAATGAGAAATTTACTAATTAAATGCTTAAAATTTATAATCGCATTTCTATTTTTTAGCTTAATCACCAGATTAGTAAAATTTTTCCCCTTTATCTCTTTCCATGTTCTCTAGCAAGCAAAGCTTCAGGGATGATTGTTTGATTGGATATTTAAACAAACTTCTAAGGTTTCATAAATCAAGAAAAAAGGAATTACATACAATCTGGGTATTGGAGAGAGGGGTTCTCAATGCTGTGCAGCTCATTATAGACATCTGACTCCAGAATCTCCCTTCTCATCTCCCTCCAACGAATGTTGTTCTTCTCCGCTGTACTATTGGATGATCGATGTATCCAAAAAAAGATTTGTGGGTATTCTTTTACTTATATAACTAACATTAATACATTGAAAAAAAAGTCAAAATCTGCAATGTGCCAAAGAAAGATAGAACGAAAGAAGAAACCTGATTAGGACTTGTCGGGCACCAAGCTTAAGCACAGAGTAAAGGGGCTTGAACGAAACGAAAGCTTTAACAAGGCGAGAGAAAGGGGTCTCTTCTGCCCACTTTGGCCTTTCTCGTTCTCCCTCCTCGTATGCTATTGCTACTCCCTCTGCCATCCCGACATGAACTACAGAATCTAAATCTCTTCTGGCATTTCTGCTTCTACTTCTTCCATTTCCATGTTTTAAAGCTGGAGATGCAATGAAAAGCTTCTGAGAAGAAGAAGAAGAAGATGCCCACAGCGCCATTGCAGATAATTTGCAGTTGCAATAAGACACACAGACTTTCAAACACCGTAGACCTACAATCTAATACTACCAGGATTTGGTTCACTGAAGACTGGCAGTTCCGCATTCTTTCTATCTTTTATCCGCAGGTCATTAACCCGAATCTTCTCGGCCTATTGTATACCACCACGTGGATGAAAAAGAATCGATACTCTATCTGCTTCTACGAATTCTTTGCCTTCGTTCGGACTGATAGAAAGTTAGAATTTCGTGAAGTTATTTATTAAAATTAAATAAATAAAAATTTTGAATTAATATATTAATAAAATGTATTGTGAAAATTAATAATATGTAAAAAAGTTATTAAAAATATTATTTATAAGTTAAATTTGATCAATGCTTATTAAACGATAAAAGTTTTATCAATATTTTTATTAAAAATATTTATTTAATAAATATTTTAAAATTTATTAATAATTTTTTAAATTTTGCATATTTGATTTGTGTAATAAAATATTTTAATCTATCAATTTTAATTTTTAATTTTAATTTTTATTAACTCATTTTAATAAAAAATTTCACAAACTCTACCTATAAAATTTCATATAAATTTTTTTCCTGTCCAAACTGATGTTACACGTATATTAGCATTACGATTGCATTTTAAAACATAATTTTTAAATGAACAGTAATATTAAATATATTATTATTCATGTTTAAAGTATTTTTTATCATTCAAAACGAGTTAACTACAAAAACTAATTAAAAAATATTGCAATTTGAAATTTATGATTTGAAAGAGTAATAAAGACAAAAATTTGTGTAAGTAAGATCAATATTTTAATATTTTTTTGTTTATAATATTTTGTTACTTAATATAATACTGACAAAATAAAAATAAAAATATTGCATAATATAATATAATTTTTAAATAAATACATATTTTTTATAATTTATTCATAACGAAAATTTTTTTCAATGATTTTATTATTGTGTTACATAATTTTTTTTCTGTCATGCCAATAAAAATATTAGAAAATAATAAAATAGATAGATGATACGATTTTTTTTTATTTCTTTTATAATGAAATTAGATTTGTATTTAATAACTAATTATGTATGAAATAATTATTACTTCAAGTATATCAAACTAATCACTTATAAATTGAATCACACTCATAAAAAGAAAAATATAGCCTATAAGTGTGATGTGACATCATAGCGAAGAAAGAATTTTAATCAAAATTAAAATTAGATTAAAATGTGATTAATAAAAAATCAATAGAAATATATGTTAAGAAAATTTTTGAATTCACAAGTTAAATTTATATTCAAAGTGAAAAAAATTATTAGAAATTTTATATTAAAATAAAAGTAAAAACAAAAAAGAGATTTATTTTTTATATAAATAAATTTAAATGGTGTCAACATAAGATAAATATTAATTTTTTATACTAATTACATGTATATTACTAATTTTAAAAAGTTGAGTAAGGTCAATTGAATCCAATATTACAAGGTGGTTATGTACTGATTTAAAGACAAAATGATCAAATACTCAATCAATTATATGTTTTGACAAAAATAATCTATTTTTCCTTTTCCAACATCATGTCTTTTTTACATATTTTAATTTTCACAGCAATGCTAAACATTAAAAAAATTTAAATTTTTTAGAACATTTTTTTAAATATTTTGTTAAATCAAATTTCTCCAAATGCAACAATAATTCTAAACTATGTCGTAAAAGTAATAAAGTAAACACTATACTATTTTTTTGTTGACTAATGAAATATTTTATTGCATTAACATATAAAAGGAAAGGTAATATCATTACAACAGAAAAAATTTATTGAATTGGAAAATCACTTCAGTAATAATTATGATAAATCCCTATCATCATTCCTTTTCAAATTTAAAATCACCTACATTTTTCAAATCATCCTATGGAATAACAAAGTATTTGTTTATTTGTAATGTCATTCTTGTAATATTTCTTTACTAGCTTGCTATCCGTGCGATGCACGAATTATTTTTGTTTTATTTAAATTTGAATAAAATATAAATTAATATTATTGAATTATTTATATATTCAAAATATATTTAACATATAAATAATATAATTAAAATGTTAAATCATAATAAAAATAAAGTTTTTTTTTTTTTAATTCTGTTGAAGACTAAGGAATTCTCTATTCTATTATTGTAGAGTTATTATAGGATTCATATTTTTTTTCTTAGGAATCTTAGTGAAATCTTTTATGGTTCTAAGGTTTTTCTAAACTAAGATATAAATAAATTTGAAATTACTATTACTGATGAGACTATCCCTGAATTATTTCTTTTCAATTTTATTTTTTTATAATAAATAATCTCATGATTTGAAATTATATTACATGTTTCATAATGGGGATATGAATTAAGAAATTATTCACTCTTTGAATATACAACTGGCACATAAGTTTTTGTTTATAGCATATAACTCTATTATATTAATTAATCATGCCATCATTTTTATTTTATACGAATAAGGAACACTGAATAAATAATCAATTAAAAGATAAAATATATTACCTGATTGAGTGAAGAATCTATGAAAAAATAAAAGGTTTGCAGACAATACTGGTAAAAATATAAGAATATATAGGTTTTTGAGTTTTTGTAGTTTTTAAAAAAATTATTACAATTGAAAAAAGAATATGACAACTAATTTGAAAAAAAAATCCTACCTAATAAAGTGAATAGTATGTTTAGTGAAATAATACCTATTATTAGAAGAAGCATGTTAGTTCCTATAGCAAGAATAGAGCAATAAGAAAAAAGACTAAATTAATAATAGAAAAAAAATATGTTTAGCTTAGTGGGACGTTGGGAAAGTGATATAACTAAGAACTACTAACAATGAAAGCTTTCATGAAGTTGCTCTAGTATTTATATATTTTTTTCACATTTCTTTTCCTTTGTGAAATATATTTAAAAGCTAAAGGTAATGTAAGGATTATTTATAAAAAATATTAAAGATATTAAATAATATTTTTAAAAGTTATGATAAATTTTAATACTCATGTTAACTACAGATAAATTAAAAAAAATAAATTACTTTAAAATTAGTTTTAAATTGAGATGAAGTGATGTACGGGAGAAACTTGATATATAGAAGAAACTTTATTGAAGCTATTTTGGTATTTATATATTTTGGATTATAGGGTCCAGTGGTCTCTCTTGGGGACTTGGTATGTCAGTTCATCTAGGTGAGGTATTCATGATGGATTGGATTTCGATGTATGACAACCCAACCTATCGAGGCCCCATGGGTGAGATATCCCAAGAAGGCTCTGCGAAACCTCTTATGTCCACCTATCACTTAGTCCAGGGCTTTACATTACCAAAAAGAATAAGAAAATAAAGTTACGCCTTCACTATTAGCTATAGTTTTTGGTGTAGCAGTAAGTGCTTAATCCTAAAAACAAGTTGGAAATGAAAAGTTGAAAATGAATTTTTAATGAATGCAAATAATGATTTGGTAAAACAAAATGAAAAAGTCGAAAATGAATTTTGAAACCTCTCAAAGTAGAAATGAATTTTTAGAAAATGAAAATTTTGATTTGAAAAAGAAATTTGATGAGTTGATGAACAAAAAATAAAAGTTTTTAAAGAGTTCATTAAGTACTAAAATGATTAAATGTAATTTTTGTCATTTTCATGGTCATACTATATATACTTGTTTTATTAAAAGAATAGTCCCATTTAGAATTAGACAAGTATGGGTTATAAAGAAACAAGAGACTTGGTGACTAACTCTCAATGAGCTAAAGTAATTTGGGTGTCAAAAATCAAATGAGATTATCTCTTGTAGGTGTGCTGAGCAATGAGCTATAATGTGAGATTGAAGATTGAATACTCTAGACACACAATGGAGATAGGTAACCTCTAAACTTTTATTTTAAGTGATTAAAAAATTGGTTGCCTATTCTTGTTGAACATTGAGTGCTTAATGGATATTGGTATATGCTTTGTTAATACATCTTGAATATACCAATTTTATTTGGTATATGTGAGCTTGAATTGAGTATGCATTTATTTTTTCTCTTGAATGTATGATTTTAATATATTCTTCATGCTTGTTAATATTGTGTTTAAAATTTATTTGCTTGAGATATATTTTTAAGAGAATTCATGAATGCTCTAATGAATTTATGAGATTACATATGAATGCTCTTGATATTGAGATTGCATGAATGATTTTGATATTTTGTTATTATTTGTGAAATTGACATTCTCGAGAACTTGTGCTTATGCATGATTGTATATATGAATATTAGATATCAATGATATCATGCATCTTTGTGAAATTGTTATTGGTTCTTCATGTGATTAATTGTGTGCTAAATTATTTTTATATTTATGTATAAACTTAGGGGGAGCACTTAAAACTTAATAATTTTGAGACTTTATGTTTTGTATTGAAAATAATTTTTGCTAGAGTCAAGCCTTAAAATATGAAATTTTATTTTAGCAAGTTTTTAATTGTAAAATGAATTTGAATATCTTGAATTCAATAATTTAAACTTGCTTAAACAAAGAAAACTTGAAAACTTGCATTGGTTTTAATTTTTCATAGATTTACATACAAGTTTCCAAGGATTTTGAAACTCAAAAGGTAAAATTTTGTTTTTGAACAATTATGGGCATAAAAACCATTTGGACTTTTTTAAAGTGTGATATAAAACTTTTCAAAATGGTTTGAAGAGCTTAAATATGAATTTAAACATATTTTCCCATCTTGATATCCTTTTTCAATGAAATATGGGATTAAGAGTTGACTTTTTGATTTCCTTGTTTTTAATACCAAATGACCACTTGAGCAACTTTGTTTTATCATTGAATGGTTCAAGATGGTTAAAAATGAGCTTACTAGTTATGAGATTTATTAAGATCTTTTTTAAGTAAAAGTGAGCTTCAAAACATCAAAAATAAAAATCTTGAAAATATTAAGCTTTGAATGATTTATCCTATTATATTTTGCATAAATATATTTGTTTGAATGATTTTGACATGATGAAAATGATTTTGTGATTTATATATATATATAT